AAATTGCCCCCCCCCCAGCAGGAATAGGGTTAATTAGCAAAGATTGAATCTGTAAAGAAAATGAGTTTTTGACACAAACTAAAATTTTCTAATCCTTACATCGTTGCAACCAAAAATAATAAACCTTTGTTATTAAAATATTAGACTTTTTGATAGAACAGAATTCATAGTTGGAAATATTTAAGGAGTACGACATCGGATTTAAGATATATAGGGATTAAAAATCATAGTTTGTCGCAAGAACTTAGTTCCTTCACAATAAATCTTTCTTTATCAGTAGTATTCAGAGTTACCAATAGAGTATTCAGAGTTACCAATAGAGTATTCAGAGTTACCAATAGAGTATTCAGAGTTACCAATAGAGTATACAATAGAGTATAAGTGGATTCTTTTCTTCTCTTTTACGAGCAGTGCTAAAGTAATCTTTGTAAAGCATTAATAATGATTTTATTCCACCAAAATAATGAAAACATTATAATCAATACTTTTAGATAAACCCAGAGCAGGACGGAGCAAGCCTTGAAACTCCAGACCTGGATGTTGGTTTGCTAGACACAGTTATGGATAATATCCGTGGTATGAGTGCAGGAGTACAGAAGACAATGTTGAAATCTATTATTACTTCTCTACTAGACAGATCAAAACCTTTATACGGGTAGGAATACTAAAACATTTATTTTGCTCTGTATCAGGCACAATTTAAATCTTTTGCAGATTTAAATGTGATTTCTTTTTCCTGTTTTATTGATCGTATTTAATTTTTTAGAGCAATTGAACTTAAAAATTCTAATCCCGGAATTAAAAATGTTAAACCTGAGTTATGGTAGATCAATTTTAGGAAGGATAATGTAAGAGCACTACTCATCCTACTCCAGAACCCAATATTCTCCGCCCAGTCGACCTACACCGTCTTCTCCCACATCCTGCAGAACATCACCTCACTACACAACGGAGATCATCAACTTCTAGTTCATTGGTTCAGGAACCTAGAACCTCATAGACTAGCAAGCATTGTCAGGTATACAGAGAAACAGACTAGCCAGTATTGTCATATATATGGAGAAACAGACTAGCCAGCATTGTCAGGTATACGGAGAAACAGACTAGCCAGCATTGTCAGGTATATGTGGAAACAGACTAGCTAGCATTGTCAGGTATACGGAGAAACAGACTAGCTAGCATTGTCAGGTATACGGAGAAACAGACTAGCTAGCATTGTCCGGTATACGGAGAAACAGACTAGCTAGCATTGTCAAGTATACGGAGAAACAGGCTAGCTAGCATTATCAGGTATATGGAGAAACAGCTGATCACAATTCAGGAATCTGTTACAGCTGATCACTATTTAGGAATCTGTTACAGCTAATTACTATTCAGAAATCTGTTACAACTGTTCACTTTTTAGTAATCTGTTACAGCTGATCACTATTTAGGAATTTGTTACAACTGATCACTATTTAGGAATCTGTTACAGCTGATTACTATTCAGGAATTTGTTACAGCTGATCACTTTTTAGGAATCTGTTACAGCTGATCACTATTCAGGAATCTGTTACAGCTGATCACTCTTCAGGAATTTTTTACAGCTGATCGCAATTCAGGAATCTGTTACAGCTTATCACTATTCAGGAATCTGTTTCAACTGATCACTATTTAGGAATCTGTTACAGCTGATCACTATTCAGAAATCTGTTACAACTGTTCACTTTTTAGGAATTTGTTACTGCTGATCACTATTCAGGAATCTGTTACAGCTGATCACTATTTAGGAATTTGTTACAGCTGATCACTATTCAGGAATCTGTTACAGCTGATCACTTTTTAGGAATCTGTTACAGCTTATCACTATTCAGGAATCTGTTACAACTGATCACTATTTAGGAATCTGTTACAGCTGATTACTTTTCAGGATTCTGTTACAGCTGATCACTATTTAGAAATCTGTTACAGCTGATCACTATTCAGGAATATGTTACAACTGATCACTATTCAGGAATCTGTTACAGCTTATCACTATTCAGGAATCTGTTACAGCTGATCACTATTCAGGAATTTGTTACAGCTGATCACTATTCAGGAATCTGTTACAGCTGATCACTATTCAGGAATCTGTTACAGCTGATCACTATTCAGGAATCTGTTACAGCTGATTACAATACGACAGTTTCCTCCTGCGGACAAATCTCTTCCTCCGCTCGCCAAATCAAAATGGTGGATTCCTACAGCAACTAAGGTTAAATTATAAAAGTAAAATGCTTTTTAAAACTAGGACTGAGCAAAGTTTAATCTAAACTGAAATATGTTTATTTTCTTTAAATCAAGAAAAAATCTTTCATAAAAGGTTGTTAGCCAAGGCAAAGTTCCATTAATTGAACGGGACTTTTTTAATTAACGGAAAATCCAATTAACGAACGGAAACAAATGCTTTAGTTATTAATTAAAAACGAGCGGTTTTTTTAATTATGAAGATTTTTTATTGTGAGAGCTTTCTTTAAATATGAAAATTGAAAACTGAGAAGCTGCGCAGATTATTGCTGTATAGTTAGCTAGTATGCTATATATATATATATATATTTGTACAATGAAGAAAAAAGACAGGAAAAACTAGGTTTAAAAATGCATGTTATGTATGAATTTAGGTTCATACATTGTTCATAAATTGGATTTTCTAATAATTTTCTCTACATGAAAATATATAAAATATATCAACTTATATTTAAAGGAAGTAAATAAAAAAGTCAAAAGATAAACTGTAAACTGTTTTCTCAATTCTTTAACTTTTAAATTTTGATTCCCAACTCTTCATACAAGAATACAGCGTATATAAAGTAATAATTATATTCCTGAATAATGTTCTTGTACAAAAACAACTCATAATGCAATATGTCCTCTGGGGCCTATCTAATATATACATACTGAATATACAGGGCAATCCATAAAGAATGTGACTACAGATTTCAGTCTCATTCTTAATTCATGGTTCACTGCAACTTTGTATTTAAAGTATTTAAAGAGGATATTTCTCATCCTTTGTAGTAAACCTGTAAGTAAATGTACAACATGCAGGGGGTGGCAATGTTTGTTAGATTAGATTGATTAGTAGAAAACTAAGTCCGAATTCAATGAATTTGAGCCGCGTCTCAAATCCGCCAAAAACCGGTTTCAATCGAGCGCCGACTTAAATCTTGAAACATTGAATTGGAACCAACCATATTTGAGCCGTGTCTTAAACTTTAGCTGCGGCTGTAATTCTTTAAATTTGGCTTTTGATATAGCTATAAGTCAGTGGGAACTTTGAGTACGTTTAGGCCATGCAATTGATTTGTACAATGAATATTTGAATGGGACAAGAACTAATCAGTACAGTATTTTTTCTTTCAATTTAATTCAGTTCAAAACTTCAAACTTCAGCATGCTCATTTTAAAAAAAATACCTTAGAGGTTATTAATATTTCTGGACCTTTTAATAATAAACAGTGGAGTGAAATTTTTCATTTTAGTGTTTTTATAAACATATTGAATGTCAACCTGCGTTCATCTAAAAATTTTCAATTTACAGGGTGTCCCACGAAGCATAAAAGTTGAGAGACGACTTGTTCGTTGGATACCCTGTAGATACTGTTTTATCTCAGACCTTATACACACTATTATACAGGGAAGCATGAATATGTTTCCTAGTATTTATTGTTGAACATTTAACATGCAGGAGGATACAGCAACACAGACGCAATGCGAAAAATTAGAACTATTAATGACTTCATAAAATCATAAATAATTTCAGGTTATGTGTTTATCCGACATAAAGAAATGTGATAAAACATTATGGTTTTTCTTTATATATAATATATATATATATTCCTGGACAGTTCTCCTATTGCCAGTACCCTTTCATCCTCTCTATAGTGGCCAAGAGACATATTCTAACAAAGGTAAATTTAATTTTTAAATGTATATGTTGTATCCTTGGAAAGAAATAATCACATCTGTATCTCCCTGTGTTATCACCCTGAATCCCCCTGCACCCCCCAGTATTTGCCCTGTTTCCCCCTGTATTCCCATGTATTCCCTGTATCACCTGTATCCCACTGTATCCCTCTGCAACTCCTTGTTTTTCCTGTATCCCCATGTATCCCCAGTATCCCTCTGTATCCTCTGCATCCCCCTGTATCCCTGTATCCCCTGTATACCCTGTATGCCCTGTATCCCCTTGTATCTCCTTGTAACGCATTGTATTCCCTGTATCCCCTGTATCCCCCTGTATCACCTGCACCCCACTGTATCCCTTTGTATCCCACTGTATCTCCCTGTAACCCTTGTATCCCATGTTTCCCCCTGTATCCCCCTATAACCCCTTGTATCCCCTGTATCCCCCTGTATCAATATTTTCCAGAGATAGACACATAAACTTATTCAATTTCCCGAGTAAAAGTTCAGAAAAGAATTTCGCTTTTACAGCCGCAGGGAAATCTATTGGAAGTTTAAATCATATTTTTCTTGAAGTTGAGAATATATGTAATATCTTTATAAGTAAACAAACATTAAAAATACATTGTAAACCTTGGTGACATTAGGTTTGAAACAAATGGAATAGATTATATTAAAAAATATATCTTTATATTGTATTTAGGAATCTGAACAGCTGATGATATTGACTGTATTTAGGATTCTGAACAGGAGATGATATTGACTGTATTTAGGATNATATGTAGTGTCTTCTACTGATACAACAGGAGATTATATTGGTTGTATTTAGGATTCTAAACAGGAGATTATAATGACTGTATTTAGGATTCTGAACAGGAGATTATATTGGTTGTATTTAGGATTCTAAACAGGAGATTATAATGACTGTATTTAGGATTCTGAACAGGAGATTATATTGACTGTATTTAGATTCTGAACTGGAGATGATATTGATTGTTTTTTTCGGATTCTGAACAGGAGATTATATTGGTTGTATTTAGATTCTGAACAGGAGATTATATTGACTGTATTTAGGATTCTGAACAGGAGATTATATTGACTGTATTTAGGGTTCTGAACAGGAAATTATGTTGGTTGTATTTAGGATTCTGAACAGGAGATTATATTGACTGTATTTAGGATTCTGAACAGCAGATGATATTGGTTGTATTTAGGATTCTGAACAGTAGATGATATTGGTTGTATTTAGGATTCTGAACAGCAGATGATATTGACTGTATTTAGATTCTGAACAGTAGATGATATTGGTTGTATTTAGGATTCTGAACAGCAGATGATATTGGTTGTATTTAGGATTCTGAACAGGAGATGATATTGACTGTATTTAGGATTCTGAACAGTAGATGATATTGGTTGTATTTAGGATTCTGAACAGCAGATGATATTGGTTGTATTTAGGATTCTGAACAGGAGATGATATTGACTGTATTTAGGATTCTGAACAGTAGATGATATTGGTTGTATTTAGGATTCTGAACAGCAGATGATATTGGTTGTATTTAGGATTCTGAACAGGAGAT